ATTGTTCCTTATGCAGCTCTCTAGAGCACACCCCATCTTTCCCACTCGTCTATGGTTCTGTTTGGCAGAAATACGTCCAATTGAATCCAGAAATAGATTTGAAGTTATATACATCCGTAAGACTCAATATACTCCAAACAAATTTTGTTGTAAAATGCAACAATGTATCTCTGATAAACTCAGTCCAGTTCATTTAAATGAAGCTAAGAAAATTATATAATCATCACATGAATGTCTCATGAATGTTTCTTCATTGAATGTAACTCTTGATCAGTTCAATCTGAAAAATGATCAGTGGGTGAGCTTCAGTGGCGTGGCGTGCTTTGCGATCTATCGATAATTCCCCATTTGAAGCTGTGGTAAATAATCGGTTATAAAGGTGTTCGCTGCGAACACCCTGTTTATCGATACTTTTCTATAGGTTTAAATGGCCAATCAATCGATATATCGCAAAGCACGCCACGCCACTGGTGAGCTTGACGGGTCATCTAGAGCTTCCTATTGGTAGACTTATAATTTTTGAGGATTAGCTTCCCAAGAGGAGTAGAGTGAAATAGATCCTCAATAAAGGGCGAGAAAATTTTTTTTTTAAAGATACCTTATCAAAAACTGATTATAAAAACTATCAGAGGAGCACACTAAAGACTACTGTTACTCTTCCTATTTCGATGAAGAATTCCTTTCCTGAAAAATAAATTAATGAATCTCATTCTTGTCAGCTAAACTAACTTACCAGAGAAATTCCAATGCCTTTCAAAGAGAAAAACAATTCCATATTGCTTTTTTCAAAGTCAATTTTCTTCCTCATTTGAAATGCAAGTTTTTCATCTTGTGTGAAAAGGAGGACTCGCTGAAATCCTTCTAAGTAGCTCACCCAATAAACCATCACTTTGTCCTTGCGTGTCTTTTTAGTGAGCTGAAAATATGATCAATAAATCAATGAGGTCTAGAAAACCTTCATGCGACAGGAAGATAACAATAAAGAAGAATTCATGTTTAATTTTGCAAACAGCAAGAAATGACTTAAGGTCTTAAAGAGGCTCATTATAATATGTAGGAATTTTCTGCAATGAATCAATACAGCATTGTGCAAATTAGTGCAGCACAGAATTCAAGATTTTTAACATTCAAATGACATACATCGTGAGGAGATTTGACGACTTTGTTTCAAAGGAAAACGCATAACATATTAAAAATTTCAATAGGTGACAAACCAATGAGAGGCTAATGACATTTGAAATTCATTTAAAACCTAGAAACATAATTTTGAAACAAAAATGGACTGAAAAGCTAATTTTTCCGATACCTGAGGTTTTTCATCCAGGTCAGAATCATCGCTACTGCTGCTTTTAACACTGTTTGTCTCTTCCCGCCGACCGACAGATAGTTTTTTCAATCCGGCTGATAATTTAGCACCTACCGCTGTTAACGTTTGTTGATTATTCTGTGGTTTCACCATGTGAAAACTAACCCGCTCTTGGCCATAACCATCCTAAAAAAAAATTAAAAATTACATGATAGAAAAACACGTGCTCATGAACATACTAGTTTAAATTCAAGACACGTAACTATTGAAAACTGCTATTAGCTGATATTTTCTTTGTTTGAGTTGTTATTCCAGTTGCTATTCTGTCCTACATTACATACAAAATGATCCTTCAGAGAGCTTGAGTTGCAGCAGAATTGGTGAAATTGTTTGGAATGTACCTCCTATCCCTAGAATAAATTAATCTTTCTTCCCCTCCAAATTCCATTGCCTCAAAAACTTTGCATCATATTAATCAAAATAAAATGATAAAAAATAAGAATATCAGAAAAAACTACTTCTATGAATAAAAATCCTGCAAAGATTTACCTTTCCAAAATTTGCGTAAAACCCAGAGCACTTTTTGTTATAAACATTCCAGACCAACACTCTGTCTTTAGCGGGGTCATCCCAGGTGTACAAAAGTGACTGG